TTTCTATTTGCAGTGGGTCTCCCACTCATGCTTTATAGTCCAGACAAATATCATACAGGAAATGATCAAGGCCTCCCACTGGGCCTTTAACCAGCCCAAGCTTCTGATTGGTTGTTCTTAACCAGTCCACCATGCTCTTCCCTACTCATCACCAGATGTTCATCAGTCAGGAGTAGTCAGGGACTTGATGCAACACCTCCAGGGCTGCCTAGAACACAGGAGACAGGAACTAGCCAAGTCATCCCTGAACAGATGACTGCACTTCCCTCTGCTGTTTGTAGGCCCTCTAATAATGTTTTTTTTTCTTTTCTTATTGTTCAGCCCTGCCTCATAAGACTTCTTTCAGATTTTATCCAAAGATATATATGCACATTTCCCACCAAGGAACTGTTGCTGCTGCCTTCTCCTGGATCTGAAAACATCCCTGCCTTCTACCCCTAATGTTAATGTCCCTTGTCAGGAGGAAGTGGCCAGAGAAAGTCAGCACCCTTTTATAGCTATCAAAAGGCTGAATGTTAGTCTTCCCAGGAAAAATAGCCCCTTCCCTTTGTACTCTTCAGTGCTTGGAGCACTCCCCTAGAAGTCCCTGCCCAGCAGCTGTAAGCCAGGTAACTGGCACACCTGAAGGCAGTGGGAGGTCCCAAGGCTCTGAGGTTACTTCTGCATCCACTGTAGCCACACCTCCTCCTCACCTTTCGCTATATAATCTCTCTCCACCATTAGTTGAGCTGTTACATGCTACATCCTATGTTCTGCTCACCCTCATCTGGTGCAATCTGGTGGTTTGGTTCTACTAATAAACTCTCTTTCACTTGAACTGTGTGTTGTTCTCCTTTCCACAGCCTTTACATCTAGGCACTGGATCCCCTCCACTTCTCTTTCCGAGGGTCAGTCCACCTCCTGGCTGCCCCTCCTGGAACCCAAACTGCCAAAGGAGTCCCATGTTGGACCTCTCGCCTTTACCACTGCCGGCTACACATTCACCATACAATCTCCTATGTCTGGCCCTCTCTCTACATGCTGCATGCTACTCTACACTTCTCTGCATACCTACATCTGGTGCAGGTCCACAGTTTGGCTCTCCCAATAAATTCTTCTGCCTGAAACACATGGTCTCCTTTCAGTAACCTTTATAATACACATCCATCTACTTCCCTTAAGATTAGGGGACCAAAGTCATTTTAGAGGAAAATGAGGCAGGATAAATTAGGGAAAATGAAGTCTGGTAAAGGCAACTCAGAAACAAGATAGTTAAAAAAGAAGCACTATCTGTGCTCCAAAGAGAGATAACGGGATGCATTCCTTCCTGAGAGATGAATTTCTCACCCCAAAAATTAACATATGTTTGGCAGGATGTAACCCTTCCTGCGAGAAATGCTCCCCCAAAGTAATGAAAGGGAAGACCCCAAACATAAATAGTCAGAATGGTAAATATGATCTAGGAACTTAGAAAGTATAACAGCACCAAGAGTGATTGAGAGCACAGAAAAACACCTATCTTTTCCTGTCTTTAAGTCAGACCCCCTGCCCTTATTATACAAACACCCTGGGGGACAAAGAGCTGTGTGACTCTCCTTTAGAGAGCCCACACTCCATGTCTGTTAGCTTCCATGCCCAACTTGCTTGTTGCTTGCTTATCTGCCTAGTCAATAAAGCTCTGCCAAGTTTCCTTACTGTCGTGACTAGTCCAGAAATTCCTATTCTGCGATTGAAGTCAAGGATCTTAAGAGTCTCTACTTTTAGAGGAAAACTTCACAAATCTTTACCTGCATCTGGTCACAGCTTGAAGACAAATGAAGCAGAAACGTCTTCCAGACTTCACATCCAATTAACTAGCAAAAAGCTAATCTGGAAGGCATGGCTCAAGTAGGAAAGTGAGCAAGAAAGCTGAATGAAAGCAGAAGGCCCTAGTTGAAGTCCTGGTACTACCAGTGATGATGATGATGATGATGATGATGATGATGATGATGATGATGATACTTCTTGACTGAGGGATGATGATGATGATGATGATGATGATGATACTTCTTGACTGAGGGCCTGGGTCCTTTACCGGGGCTTCAGTAGCAAAGCACTGTGAACAAACTAGATGGCTTCAAACAATTGACATTCAAGCTGGTACAATACCAGAGGCAGGATGCTCAAATTAATGTATGCACAGAACGATGCTCTGCTTGAAGACTCCACAGAAGCATTCCTGGTTTGGCAGCTGCATTGCTCCAATCTCTGTCTCTTTAGTCACATGGGTTTCTTCCATGTCCAAAATTTTCATCATTTTCTGAGAACTCCAGTTACTGGGAAAGGTCAGGCTTCTGCTAATAGGAGCTCATCTTAGCTTGATTATACTGACAGACTTTATTTCCAAAAGAGGATATATCATGAGGTTAGGACTCAATGTGTTGCTCAGTGCTGCGTCTACCCATTTCTTGGCTATGTCGTTTTCTGTGTATGGATTGTCTGAATGATGCTGTAGTAACAAACCTATCTCTAGGTCTCAGTGATTTATTAGTTTGCTTTTCACAAACCATATTTACCACTAGATCCTGCCCTTGCTCCCTTTGAAGCTGGGATGTGTGGCCACTGTCACTGCTCTATGGGCCACGGAAGCCCCTTCTCCTGGAGTGCTTTGTCTGTACCTATTGTCCTTTCTAAATGAGAACAACACACCTTCTGGACACCAGTGCCCTTGGAATGGCGAATTGCCAAGGTTGAGAAGAGGCGCAGGCAAAGCTGCTTGTGTTCTGCCAAGGAGTCCGAATGATGTGGTGTTGTTTAAGCTCTATGTCTTAGAAAACCTTTCCAGAAAAGGTCAAAACTCTAACCAGGCAAGTGATGCAAACCAGCCCAAAGTGACAGAAGCGAGTTCCATAGCAGGCACTGGAGAGAGGTGGGGACCGTGGCAAACTTCACCCAAATGGAGCAGCCACTTCAAGGCAGCTAGTGGGGGTCATGTGGGAACTGGCACTCAGTGTTGCCAGATTTGAGGGATTTTTTTTCTTTTATTTTAAGAAAACCAGAGTGTCTGATTTTTACATAAAGCTTCCCAAATTTCAAAATGCTGTTCAGGCTGGATTCAGCCCACAAAAGGCCACGAGTTTGCAACCCAGCTTTTAGTGAGATAACTTTTTCCATTTTCACTCCCTGCTTTCTGCTCTCCAACTTGGCTTTCTAGCTGTCCACAAGACATGGCCTTGAGCCAAATGGGACTCAAGACTGTCCCCCTCCCCACCTGACTTCGGATGTACCCTCCCCCAGACATCCAAAGCTTCTCACTGGGAGGCTCAGCTCCCTCCTGTGGGGCCAGGTCCTTCCCAAGAGTTTCCACTCTCCACTGACTAGCCAGCCAGCCACAGCCTGCCGGGCAAGCCCATACTTGCCTGAAGTCCATGGAGACCAGATCTGCACTGCAGAGATCTTAGTGTCTGAGAATAGACAGTCCTCTGCCCTAAGGTCAAATTGCTGCTGCTTCTCTCAGCCCCGTGACCTTATGCTTCATATTGGTCCCTGAGGACCCCAGGCTCATCTTCCCCCTTCCCAACTGTCCCTACTGGCCTGGCCTTCCATCCATCTCCCTCACCTTTCAGGTAGAGAGAGCTTCCTCTCCCAGAGCCTCGGGCTGCAAACATTTCCCCCAAGTGCACCCCCTCTTTAGCTCCCCAAGGGTCAGCCCAGAGATCACCTCTTCCAAGAATCCTTCCCAGACTAGAATGCCTTTACTAGGTTAGAGGATGAGGTCCCCCACATCTCACCTACTGGTTGTTCCTGAGGGAAGGAGGGGCCATTCTTAAGGGACAGATACCCTGAGTGTTGTGTTCCTCACAGGAAGGGAGGAAGGGAGGGAGGGAGAAAGGGAGGAAGGAGGGAGAAAAAGGGGGCGGAGGAGGAAACAAAGGAAGGAAAGAAGAGAGGTAGAGAAGAACAGAAGGAAGAGGGAAGGAAGAAGGGATAAAGGAAGAAAGTGAAGGATGGAAGGAGAAAAGAAGGAAGGAAGAAAAGTAAGAAGGAAGGAAGGGAGGAAGAGAGGGAGGAAGGGAGGGAGGGAGGGGGAAAGAAGAAAGGAAGACACTAAAAGGAATGGAAGCAGGGATGAAGGAAGGCAGGAATAGAAGTAGGGAGGAAGGAAGGAAGGGAAGAGGGAAGGTAACAAGGACTAAGGGAAGAAAGAAAGGAAGGGAGGGAGGGAAGGGACAGAAGGAAAGGATGGTAGATAGATGGAAGGAAGAGCAGGAGGGCAGGAAGGAAGCCCACCAGATACTCCCTTTGGTAGCCCTCTCAGTCTCTCTCCATCTCACCTCTATCTCCAAGGCTCTCCAAGGCCAGGAATCTAAAATCTCAGACCAACCATGCATCAAAGCTCCTGATCATGTGTTTCTGACCACCGCTCTCCCAGCCCGGCCCTCTGACCCAGGGAGCGGGCAGAGGTCCTCACCCCGGGCCGACCCTCCAAGTACTGCTTTCCCTAAATCACTCCCTGTCCAGGCCAGCACGCGGGGCGTCCTCGGCTGTGTGCCTGGAGTGTGTGTGTGGAGGGGGCTCGAGGCCAGGCTAGTGATGATGCCAGAGGCCTGGGGTCGCTGGAGGTGGGGGAAGAAGGTGGAGACAGAAATCCGAGAAGAAAGGAGAGGGAGGGCCCGAGGCAGGGGTGGGAGGGGGGCACGTGGGGAGGGCGGAGCCGTCGGCGCCCTCCGGCCCAACAGGCCACATCTGGCGGCTCCCCCCTCCCTCCCCCCCCCCCGCCCTTGTTTCCGCTGCCCGCAGACTTCCTCCGGCGGCGGCTGGGGCTGGAAATATACAAAGGGATCGCCGGGACCTGCCGGGGAGCGACTGGAGCGCGGGCGCCCACCATGAGCCGCTGAGCCCCGCCGAGTCCCCGCCACCCAGCCAGCGGGATCCTTGGGACGCGGCGGGCGCCGAGCTCAGAGCCAGCGCCAGGCAGGCGGCGAAGGCCACCGCGGGGGACCCCAGCACCGAGGCACCGACCCCCCCGAGAGAGGCGCAGAGCCCCGCAGCGCGGCCATGGAGGCGCCCGTGGCCCGGGGAACGCTGGCGCGCGCCCTGCGCGCCCTCTGCGTTTTGGGGTGCCTGTGGGGCCGTGCCGCCACCGCGCCTTCTCCCATCATCAAGTTCCCCGGCGATGTCGCCCCCAAAACGGACAAAGAGCTGGCGGTGGTGAGTTGCTACGCTGGCTGCTTCAGCGAGCCAAGTTCAGACCAACTTTGGAGAAGGACCGGGCCACTGCCGTCCTTGTTGGGGCACATGGCGTGGGGACGGGGCTTCCTCAACACCTCCAGGGCGGGGGTGGGGGCTTGCAGGCCGATGTGGTGGGGGGCAGGCGGAGATCGTTTTTTGTAAGTGGAGGGAAGGAGTCTGTGCTTGGATAAACAACTTGGCAAACTTCGGAAGACCCACTGAGCCCACGGGGTGCTTTGGCCAAGGTAGGGGAAGGCATTTTGGGTAAATAAGGAGGACCTTGTACAGGGTCTGGGGGATTTGGTAAATGGAGAGCTTTGTAAAAGACCTTTGGACACATCTGGAGAGCTGGCATCGGATTCCTGAACTAGAGAACCCGCAGGCCTTTAGGCAAACAACTTAAGGGGTCTCTTCACAGTAGGGACTTGGGGAAGGGGAGGCCGGGGCTTCAGCCCATCACTTGCATAAGCTTTTCCACGTATGAGGATGTGCAGAGAAAAGCTTGGCAAACTTTTGGGAACCTCTGGCACTCATCTGGAGAGGGGCCCTCAGTAAGCAGCTGGAGGGGACCAGGACTCAGAGCCAAGGAGGGAAAGCAGAAAGCTCATCTTTTCCAAACCGGCTTAATGTGCAAGCTGGTCAGCAGGTCAAGGGTGAGCCCCCGGAAAGTTTCCTCGAACTTCCCAAGAACGGTCTGAGGACAAGGAGAGAGAGGCAGGGGCAGGACCAGGAAGGCCCTGGCGCGTGGGGCGGGGGCGGACTGAGCCTGGTCTGGGGTCGGCCAGCGGCCAGAGAGCCCTCCTCCCTCCTGGGCCAGGCTCCAGGACTGAGGTTCAGATGTTGTTTTGAGAAGGAGGCGCAGCATGCACGCCTGACTCTGAGGGAAACCCTGGCCTGGCCCAGCCCGGCCGCAGTGTTGCATAAGCCAGGCTGAGAGGCCACTGAAAAGCTGTACCCTCAAAGATGTGCTGCCAGATCCTAGGCGGCCTCATCTTCATGGATTCATCTACTCCAGAAATCCAGTTCCCTCCAGCCAGCATCGTCCCCAGCCTGTCCAGAACCTGGCTCCAGGGTTCTCCAGGGACCCCTTCACTACAGAACCCAGGCCTGCCCGCTTACTTTCTCTGTGGCTAGATGGATTGGGAGATCTCTGGACAGGCTGAGGGACCCACTTCTTTCCAAGGATCAGTCATAGTAATGGGGGGGCGTTGGCAGGGAGAGTGGAGTTTTGTCACCTGAGTGTTCCTCCCCTACCCCACTTCTGCAGCCTGAGGAAATCCATTGTTGCCTACAGACCTCACATTAGGGGCTTGAGGAGGAGGGAGGGGGTTTCATATTTCGATTATTTGGCCTCAAATCTCAGAGTAAGAGCACCAACCCTTCAGGGTTGTCAACCTTGAGCAAATGCTTTACTTTCTCCTGCAAATAGTGGGTAATGGTAATATCACTGGTAAATAATGGGTAATAATGGTACCTATCTGAGGGTAATCTTGGACACTTGGAAAGGTGCCTGGCACTTGATAATCAACATAAGCTATTGTCACTATATTTTATATCCACTTTTCTGCCTTTCCTGACTACCCCTAACAAGTCTGGGGCTTCAATCATGTGATCTGGCTCCTCTCAGCATTCCAACACAGCTTTTTTCTCTTATTTAACACTGTGCTTCTTTGGGACCTCTCAGCTTTCCTGCATTGGGAATTGAACCTAGCTACATGGAAGGTACCAAAACAATACATGCTGTAATGAATAAATCAAGTTGGGTGGCTGATGTCCTACCTACGAGGATGTATTTGATTTTGGTCCCATTTTGGACAAGAGCCCTTGGAGGACTGGACCACTTTATAGAAATGGCAGGGCCAGCCAGGTGCCTGTGGCTCATGCCTGTAATCTTAGCTAATCAGGAGGCTGAGATATAAGGATCATGATTTGAAGTCAGTCTGGGCTGCCTCAGAAAAAAAACTGAAGTGGCATTGTGGCTCAAGTGGTAGAATGCTAGCCTTGAGCAAAAAAGAAGCTCAGGGATAGCACCCAGGCCCAGAGTTTAAGGCCCAGGACTGGCAAAACAACAACAACAAAAAGAAACGGCAGAACCAGGATTTGGACCTAGGTCTGCTGCCAGAGCCCATATACACAACCTTTGAAGCAACAAATAAGCCCAGCCAACCTCCCCAGCTGCTGGGTGGCTAAATGCAACCACAGCAGTAAAGGGAAGGATGCTGCTGGAGCACTATGGTTCTAGCCTGGGCTCTGGAGCTACAGTTCCAGTGTCTAATCTAGATCATTTCTCAACCTGTCTGTGCTTCAGTTTCTTCCTCAGTAGGCAGTAATAATTTTTACATGCACTTTGAGTTATCATGGGCAATAAATAAGTTAACGTGTCCTGACAGGGTAACTATGTTTCTCAGCTTGTGGAGGACAGAGCTGGTTTGGGAGCCTAAGACGACTCCTAGAGTCATTCTATCCTGTGTGGATTAGGGGTTGGGTGGGGACAGGATATAGCAGCCAACTTTAATCAATGCTGTGCCCTTCCATTGTGAGTCCTTAGTCTGCATTTGCTTCTTCCAGCAATACCTGAACACCTACTACGGCTGCCCCAAGGAGAGCTGTAACCTGTTTGTGCTGAAGGACACCCTCAAGAAGATGCAGAAGTTCTTTGGGCTGCCCCAGACAGGTGAACTTGATCAGAACACCATTGAGACCATGCGGAAGCCACGCTGCGGTAACCCAGATGTGGCCAACTACAACTTCTTCCCCCGAAAGCCCAAGTGGGACAAGAACCAACTCACATACAGGTGCTGGGGCCTGGCTGGGGGGGAGGGACATGACTCACCCAGTGCCTTGCCTTTGCCCCACTCTGGACAACTGGACATCTGTAGGAGTTTAGTGAATGGAGGCAGACAGAGCTGGACTTGAGTCCCACTTTCCCTAACCATGTAGCATTGGGCTTCTTGCTTGTCAGCACTCTCAGCATTGGCTTTCCAGTCCGCAAATTGGGGCTAAAATTTTCTTCCTTGTAGGATGTTCGAATAGAAATAAAGGTTTTCCATAATGATCAGCATATAGCCAAGAGCACAATAAATGTTAGCTATGGTTATTGTTAGGTGGGTTGTTGGAGCAGGCAGAGGAAGCTTGATTGGTTGCTAATTGGATGCTTATATTATAAAGTTGTAGCAGTTATAATTGGGCTAAGTGCTCTGCTCTGTATAACTGATACTAGATTCCAAGGATAAAGTCTCTGTCCTGCTCCATAATGCACTGCTTATTCCCCCGTCCCGACACCTTCCCCTCCTTCCCATGCCAGATTGAAGTGAGAGCTGAGAATATTGGCTGGGTCTAACATTCCATGAAAGCTGAAGGCATTCTGGAAGAGCTCTTCTCGATGGGCTATGCTCACCATGCACACATACCTGCACAAACATGCATGCGTGCTCACCTGCAACCACCCATGCAATGCTCGTGCACTTTGCACACATACTCCAATTGCATTGCACACATACACATAATCTTGTATATTGTTCAAGTACATTTATATGCATGCGTGCACAATCACATGCATTTTTGTCTTCTCTAGGATCATTGGCTACACACCTGACCTCGACCCAGAGACGGTAGATGATGCCTTTGCTCGGGCCTTCCAAGTGTGGAGTGATGTAACCCCTCTACGGTTTGCTCGCATCCATGATGGAGAGGCTGACATCATGATTAACTTTGGTCGCTGGGGTAAGCAGAAGAGGTGCTGGTAGGGATTGTATGGATATTAGAGAGACATGCCTAGAGTAGTGAGTGTAGACACTGTTGGTGGCTTAGACAGGGGCAGCAGGTTCCAGTGGAGAGAGTAGATGTGAGGGCCGAGGATGTGCTGTGGTGTGACCTTGAGGAAGTGCAGACTTGAAGTGAGAAGCGTACTGTTCCAAATGGGGGCCACTAAGTGTGCATGCCTGTTTAAATCAGTTTCTAAGCTGAGTGCTGGTGGCTCACACCTGTAATCTTCAGTGCTCAGCAGACCGAGATCTAAGGATCAAAGTTCAAAGCCAGCCAAGGTAAATAAAAAAAGTCCATGAGACTTTTTTTTTTTGTCAGTCGTGGGACTTGAACTCTGGGCCTGAGCACTGTCCCTCAGCTCTTCAGCTCAAGGCTAGCACGCTACCACTTGAGCTACAGCACCACTTCTGGTTTTCTGGTGGTTTATTGGAGATAAGAGTTTCACTGACTTTCCTGCCCGGGCTGGCTTTGAACCACTATCCTCAGATCTCAGCCTCCTGAGTAGCTAATATTACAGGTGTGAGCCACCGGTGCCCAGCTCCGTGAGACTCTTATCTCCAATTAACCACCAAAAAGCCCGTAAAGGGGTTGTGGCTTAAGTGGTAGAGTGTCAGCCTTGAGAAAATAGCCAACATTGCTATGCCTTGAGTTCAAGCTCCAGTACTGGCAACAGACACACACACACACACACACCCCTCAATTTCTCAGTCACATTGGCCACTTTCTAATTGCTTAACAGCCACACAAAGTGTATGTGTGTCATCACAGAAAGTTCTGCTGGCTAATGGGTAGACCCTGAGGATCTATGACAGGAGAGTGAACGGGTCAGACACACTTGAAGCAGTGTAGACATGATAGGAAGGGGCACAGATCCTGGGCCACCATGTCCAGCCTGGTGTGAATGCTGGCAGGAACATAGACACGGAGGTAGGTGGTGTAGTATGGCAATGAGGGTAGAGGGCGGAGGCCCAGGAAGCAATGTAGACAGGAGAGTAGGTGGGTCAGGCCTCATAGCACAGTAGACTTAAGGATTAGTGTGGTGGGTGTGGATGATAGTGAGGCTTAGGTCAGGGAAGCTGGTCAGCGGTATTGACAAGAGGTAGGTGGAATAGACACCGTAGAGATGTGAGGAGCGGTGTAGACAGTACAGGTGAAGTGCAGACAGATGGAGCATGTGAACCTGAGGGAACAGTGTAAGCCACAGGACTGTAATGATCAATCAGAAAATCTCCACTGACTCCCTGCCTTCCCTCCTGGACAACTCCATAAGATGGGAAAGGGGACAGGGATCGGGCTATGGATGGGTTTCTGGGAACAGCCACCATGGCTGGAAGCTGAGCCCCAGTGTGTTTTCAGAACATGGAGATGGATACCCCTTCGATGGCAAGGATGGGCTCCTGGCTCATGCCTTTGCTCCAGGAACTGGTGTTGGGGGAGACTCTCACTTCGATGATGACGAACTCTGGACTCTGGGGGAAGGGCAAGGTAAGAGAGTACCTTCGGCATGACCCAGCCCTCTCCTCTCCTGCTCCCACAGCCACACAGACCCTGGCTCCCCTCGCTGCCAGTGTTGAGCCCTTCTACCTGCTCTAAAGGACCAGGGTGATGGGAAGGGGATTGGAAGTCACTCCCCTGGGTGGAACAGCATCCTAGCCCCTGAAGAGAGGCCTAGGGAGCTCAGAGCCCCCCCTCGTGTGCCCCACAGTGGTCCGTGTGAAGTATGGGAATGCAGATGGCGAGTACTGTAAGTTCCCCTTCCTGTTCAATGGTCGGGAATATAACAGCTGCACCGACACCGGCCGCAAAGATGGCTTCCTCTGGTGCTCCACTACCTACAACTTCGACAAGGATGGCAAGTACGGCTTTTGTCCCCACGAAGGTGAGCACGGCCCTGGCCTCCATTTTCTCTCCTAGTCTCTGAGCCTCCTTGGACTCCCACCACACCCGCATCCTCCACCTATCACAGGCCAGCATCGCCCAGGGCCCAGCCGTGCCTGACCCTCAGCCACTGTGCTAGCCACACATCACATGGTGGCAATGGAAATGGAAATGGTGGCTGGAAATGGACAGCTAGGCAGTTCTTATCACTTTCATGGGATACAGATAAAACAGCCATGAGGTTACTCAGCAATACAATCTTACAGCACCACCATTGTGTAGGTGGACTTTTTTGACTTAAAGGTCGCTTCCTTCCTATTTACTTAAGTGACTTGGTCCTTTTGCATCTCACCGTTATCAGTAATGCTGGTGAAACCATGGGTTTGAGGTGCTGTTGATTTTTTTTTCTAACATATATGAGATGAACTGAGAATTATTAAAATGCCCAGTGGCTCTCTTTAGGACCATTTTGTGTTCTCCAACCAAGATCAAGATTTTAAGGGCAGGAAGAAAAGTCTGGGTATGGATAGAAAGTCAGCGGGAAGGAGAAGGCAGGATTTAGCCCAAACTAGTACCCCACTTGGCTGGGGAATTCCAGCCCTTGTACTGATCCTGATGGCAACATTAGTGGTGAGTGTGCATGCGTGTGCGTGTGCATGTGTGTGTGAGAGAGAGAGAGAAAGAGAGAGAGAGCACTAGAGAGAGCGATCATGGGAGCAAGGCCACCAGCCTCTCAGGGCTCTGCCTTTTGTGCTCCAGGCTGTCTAATTTGGTTTTTGTTTGTTTGTTTTTGGATCCGGTTGTGGGGCCTGAACTCTGGGTCTGGGCGCTGTCCCTCAGCTCTTCAGCTCAAGGCTAGCTCTTTACCACTTGAGCCACAGTGCTACTTCCGGCTTTTTTCCTTTTTGCTTATGTGGTGCTGAGGAATCGAACCCAGGGCCTCAGGCATGCAAGGCAAGTGCTCTACCACTGAGCCACCTTCCCAGCCCCCCAGGCTGTCTAATTTGTGTGTTAATCCTTCTGTTTACAATAGAGGCACCAGACTCCTCTCAGTATTTGTGTGTTTCACAATGTTTGAAACTTCGTTTTTTTCAGAGATTTCTACCATCCAGGGCAATAAAAGTTTAATTTTTTTAAAAAAATGTCCCTGACACAATTTATAGTCAATCCATCATAAAATACTAGTATAAGAGCTTTGTACAAGATTGCATCCTGATATCTGATGGCCATCTAGAAATCAAGCCAAGAAGAATTTAAGAAGAATGGGAGAAAAAAGCATTAAAAAAAAATCTTAATACCTTCTGCCTCACCTCATAAAAGCCCTTCAGTCTCTCTAGATTAAAGAGTCTCCCATCTTTTTTTTTTTTTGGTCCGGTCATGGGGCCTGAACTCTGGGCCTGGGCACTGTCCCTCAGCAATTCAGCTCAAGGCTAGCGCTCTACCACTTGAGCCACAGCACCACTTCCGGCTTTTTTCTTTTTGCTTATGTGGTGCTGAGGAATTGAACCCAGGGTCATGCATGCAAGGAAAGCACTCTACCACTGAGCCACCTTCCCAGGCCCCTGAGTCTCCCATCTTTTAGGCAGTAATTGTGTATATTTGTTACCCTCTCCTGTCCCTATTGCAACTGAACATGGGACATCAAGGAAAGAAACAAAAGCTTAATGATACCTTCCTGTTTACGCTTTGGGTTTGATGCTGGGATGAGCCCAAGGCCCCAGGCATGCAAGACTATCCTCAGCTGCATTCCTAACCCTGTTTATGCTTTTCTTACGGAAGCTGAGCTTGGTATTGAGTAAGCCTTTCAGCTATTGACCATCAGTAAGTCAGAAGTCTTAGATGAAAGTGTTTCCTGTATCTTGCATTTCCCAGTAGGGAGTTAAAGGCCCTCACCCTTCTGGAAGTCAGCCCCTGTGATGGGAACAGTGTGCGCTGAGAGGAGGTGTGGAAACAGTTACATTTTGTAAGTTTGGAAGGTTTGTTTCCCTGACATTGGCTGTTGGCCATTGGCCAGGTATAAGTACGCACCCACTGCATACCGCACGCACGCATTTGTTTGGGCTGCAGTGTGGGTGCTCATTACTCAGCCCCTCCTGACCGCTCAGTCATGTCTGTTCCTCCCCTTCCTGGGAAGAATGGGATCCAGGAGTGGGTCCCAGAGGAGCAGCTTCCTGGGTGGCAGCTGATGGGAGGCCAGGGAAGGAGTGTGGCCTCGGTTGAAGTTCATGCCTTTCCTCTCCCCACTTGGAAGTCACCAAGGTCTCTGGACTCAGTTTTGTCTCATCCTCGGCCCATGGTTCCTGGCACTCCAGGACAACGTCTCTTGCCGGAGGAAGGACAGATCAGTTAGGAGAGGGGCCTCGTGTCCTGGTGAAAGGCCAGGTCCTGGGCTCCAAGCTGGCTGTGGTGGAGTTAACAGGGCTGGTGAGGTCACCTCTGGCGCCGTCCTGCACAGATGGTCCTTGTTACGTACTTGTGGTTTTGCTAGTTGGCAATTCCAGAGATGAACCATTTTGTATTTGGGGTGGGTGAGGGGACAGGGGAACGGGGGTTGGGGGAGGGGGACATAAGACAGACCAGCTAGATCTTTTCTCCCTTCTTCCCCAAACTGTCTCTAGTCCTGACTCCTGACCTGGACAGGTCAAAGAGTCCTGGAATGTGTATTTGAAAGGTCTCTCAGAGATACCTCCTGCCCCTCCCTTCTCCTCTTCTCCTATTCTCCCCTCCTGTCCTCTTCCGGAAACCTAAGCAGGGTGTCCTGAAATGATCCTGGAAGAGAGAGAGAAAGAGAGAGAGAGAGAGGATTTGAAGTTTTCAGCTACAACCTTCTCTTACCCTCAGCAGTTCTGGAAGCAGCTTTCTCTGAGCCTCAGTTTCCCTGGGTAACACAAGGGAGACTTTGCAGGTCTTCTCATGATACTATTTTGAGCAATCCCATTGGTGTGAGCAGTGACCAGGCAGAGTGGACGGGGACAGGGATCTGGGGGTCCCTCCTGTGTGTGATTTCAGGCGGGATGGTCTCCCCAGGGTCCCAGGGGAGGATCCAGGTGGGCTAGGAAGCAGGCCTCCTCCAGCAGCTCAGAGAAGCAGCCCTTACCAACCAAAGGAATATGTTCTGATATTTTAGTGGGGCCATACGTTGACCAGTGTAAGCAGGTGGCCAGCCAGCCCTCGCTCAGTGCCATCTTCCCCCCCTCTTCTCATCCCAGCTCTGTTCACCATGGGTGGCAATGCGGACGGACAGCCCTGCAAGTTCCCCTTCCGCTTCCAGGGTACTTCCTACAACAGCTGCACCACTGAAGGCCGCACGGATGGCTACCGCTGGTGTGGCACCACTGAAGACTATGATCGTGACAAGAAGTATGGCTTCTGCCCCGAGACCGGTAGGCGGTGCCACCTCCCCTGTCCTGTAGGGCCCTCCATCCTAATGCCTGACAGACAACCCCTGCCCCTCCCAGCCTCCCTTTTCTCCCCCACACCCAGCACCAGGGTGCCGGGTCCCTCACCTCAGCCACAGGACACTGGGTTTCAGCCTCAGCTTTTAGACTTCATAATCTCCGCAAGCCTGCCTCAGTTTCCCCAACACAGTGGGAGTAGGTGGCCTGGATGGTGCATGCAGGGTTACTCGTGTGTATGTGTGTGTGTGTGTGTGTGTGTGTGTGTGTGTGTGTGTGTGTGTGTGGTGTGAAAACGCTTCATTCGGTGCCAGGATGGAGCAGGTACTGAGCAAGTGTAGGTTGTTAACGTCCTGGTCACCATTGCGCCCTTACAGATGGTGGCAGTGGTTCCTGTGCTGTCTCTTAACCCGTGTCCCTCTTCCCACAGCCATGTCCACCGTGGGTGGGAACTCAGAAGGTGCCCCCTGTGTCTTCCCCTTCACCTTCCTGGGCAACAAACACGAGAGCTGCACCAGCGCCGGCCGCAGCGATGGGAAGTTGTGGTGTGGGACCACTTCCACCTACGATGATGACCGGAAATGGGGCTTCTGTCCGGACCAAGGTATAGCATCTGGGCTTTGGACAGAGGTGAGGGATACATCCCACACCTGCTTGGAAGCTTTGAGGCTCCCCCCACGTCCAGCTCATACACACACACACACACACACACACACACACACACACACACACACACACACACAGAGGCAGGGACAGAGTACCCACAGACCTGCCCATCAAGCAGAGACCCCGCCCAGCGTCAGTGAGTACAGGGTCCCTCCTTTATCCTACCCATGCAGGCAGGGCTACAACTCCAAAATACACCCATATACCCCAATCCTAGGTGGATACACCCTCCTGGTTTCCATGCTTGCACTGTAGGTTCTTCTCCTGGCATGCTGTTACTACAAAAATGTGCCCTTCGCTTTAGTCTTACCCTGCTACAGAGATGCCCTCAAGTTTCTGGGCAGGCAGTGGGTGAGAAGGAGCAAGATATAGCCCTACACTGAGCCCTATGCTAACCCAACCCATCAGCTCTGTCATCTGCCCAGGAGAACAGGGATTCCTCATCTGTGCTGGATGCCCATGACACAATCACTAGGCCTACTCTCTGCCCTCCAGGCTTTGAATTGGCTAAGGGAGTGACCAGGATGGCTCAGGAACTTACTGTGGCCAATGCCCTTAGCCACACACACATGTGGGCACCCTCTTGTCTGTAAGGCCCAGGGACATTAGGCTTAAAGGTCTCAGGCAATCGATGGTCAGGTGAGGGGCAGCCCAGGGCCTGCCAGGATGAGGTCAGCCTTTTCTCCATGCTATTTTCAGTCTTATGCACATTCAGATGAATGTGGTGAACGCCACACCTTTACATAGAACGGATATTCGTTTCCTTTGCCTGCCAGACTGGTGGCTTACAACAAGAAGTGACTCCTTCCTGCTTCTGGAGAGCTACAATCCAGATGTTGATGGGGCTGTGCTGCTCCTACAGGCTCCTGTTTCCTCCTCCCTCTGTCTGTGCCTTATTTCTATGCCTCCTTTCTTAAAACATGTTTGTAATATTGGATTGAGGGCCCACGCTAGTATGTCATCTAGTTAACTTCCATCTGAATTGCATCTGCAAAAGACTCTATACCTGGAGTTAAGGCTTGAATTTTTTTTTCTTTTACTGGGGTTTGAACTCAGGTCCTCATGCTCACGATGCTAGCATTCTACCATGTGAGCCCTACTTCCTATAGGCCTGCTTTTTGCTGGTTACTTTTTGGAGATGGTACCTAGCCACCTTTTTTGATCGAGTCAGCTCCAATCTGCAGTCTTCTAGATCTCAGCCTCCTGAGTTGCTTAGATTACAGTAGGCATGGGCCACCAGCGCCTGTCTTTTCTGGAAAGCCATAATTCAGTCCACTGAAGGTGCGTGATGTGGAGTTTGTCTGCTGCCTGTGGCTGAGCCTACACATCCAGTCCAAGTAGTGATAGTTTTTATCGTTTTCCTGGAGGACAGAAGTGATGGAGCCATGCCACCAGCCTGTTCCTTACCTCTTTGGAGACCCTGAGAAGTAGGTTTCATCTCTTACTTATAGAGAGACACAGACAGCCAGGAAGCTGGATTTTTAACAAATGGGGCCTTGGGAAGTTGACTGTCAGATGTTTCTATTCTTTCTCTTTTAAGACATGGCTGCCTGCTCTGGGAAGGGGAAAGAGACTTAACTCTACTTAAAAGCAACAGGCATAGTGCATCAATCCCAGAATTCCCAGGATGAGGAAAAAGCAACACATGTGCCAATCCCCATGGTTTAACCCCACCGGGGATGAGCGGGTAGGTATCCCCAGGTGTCCCTCATTGGAGCCACCTCCCAACTCATGTCCTCTCTCTCCTGTCTTCTGCCCTGTCCCTGCGGTGGCCTCCAGGGTACAGCCTGTTCCTGGTGGCAGCCCATGAGTTCGGCCATGCCATGGGACTGGAGCACTCACAAGACCCAGGGGCTCTGATGGCGCCCATTTATACCTACACCAAGAACTTCCGCCTGTCCCATGATGACATCAAGGGCATCCAGGAGCTCTACGGTAAACCCCAGCTCTGAGGGGCCCTGGGGAGGCCCAGGGAGTGGGAACCATTGAAGGCCCTGTAGCCTGGAATGCCAGAGACAAGAGAAGGAGGCAGGCAGGAATGGCGATCCAGGCCTTGGAGCAATGACCCTGGCCTTCCTACACAAAGGGAGTTGTTCATGCTGCCTCCCTCTTGTCTCCTATTTCTAGAGCTCTCCATATCTAGATAAGCCATCAGTCCTGAGGAAGGTCACCTTTCTGGCTCAAGATCACCCAGGGTAAAGCAACCAGGTGCGGTTTAGGGTATAGGAGAGGTAGCTGACTACAAGGCAGGATTTTCCATGGCGTGGGGGTAACCTTGCTAAAACAGGAGAAAAGTCTCCTCTTTTATTTTAATATGTAATGTGAGAGCAAATTCCTGGAGCCAATGCTGTGTTTATTACTAATGCTTGCAGTGAGACTAGAGTGAAAAGTCAGTCCATTTCTCTTGTCAGTTGTCATGCTTGAACTCAAGGCCTGTGTACTGTCCTTGAGCTCTTTTGCTTAAGGCTAACACTCTACCACTTTGAGCCACAGCACCACTTCTGATTTTCTGATGGTTAATTGGAGATAAGAGTCTCACAGACCTTCCTGCTTGGCTAGCATTGAACCGTGGTACTCAGATATTAGCTTCTTGAGGAACTAGGATTATGGAGGTGAGCCAATAGCACCCAGCAGTACATTTTTTTTTTTTATAAAGAAAGCACTTATACAGTAGTCCTACTGCCATTTAGACCACTCAGAATAGTGATAGTTACCTCTCATTAAGCATCAAAATCAAAAAATCATACTAGGGTTCAAAGTGATAAAGCATTAGCCTTGAACACAAAGACTCAGAGACTGCCTAGGCCCTGAGTAAGTCCTAGGACAGACACAGAGTGGCACAGAGGCTTGTGTTGGGAAACCCAGGAACACAGAAAGAATCTAATTCAAGCTCTGCCTCCTCTGCAAGAGAATGAGGAAGTTTTTACCTCCCAGGATGCAGGAATGACCCTTGAGGGGTGCCATACCATATAGCTGGTCAGATGAGAGACCTCTTGATTGCCCTGGCTTTTGTGGGCAGAAGAACTGAAACTTGGGGTTGAAGCTTTTGGGTGATCCACATTTCTTAGCCTGTTATCTCATCTCTGCAATGAGAGTGATAAAGCTGGGGATAGAGCGGTGTTGGATCCAGGGCGCATCTGTGAGGAGCGCTCACACAGAAAGAGGGATTATAATACTGTGTTTTCTCCTCACTCCTGTCCGAGCCCAGGCATCTTTGCTACTGAACTTACGTGAAGTCTGAAGGCTCTTCCTTCTGACTATAACACGTTGGGTGGGCAGCCCTGGGAGACCTAGGAGCTGGGGAGAATCTTAAGGCCTGATGTCCCCCTTTGCTAGGAGCCTCTCCTGACACCGACGTTGATGTGGGCACTGGCCCCACACCCACGCTGGGACCTGTCACTCCTGAACTCTGTGAAAAGGACATTATCTTTGATGGCATCTCTCAGATCCGTGGTGAGATCTTCTTCTTCAAAGACCGGTAAGCTCAGGAGCTGGCTGCGTGTCCTTGCTCTTGTCCTCTGCCCCTTCTCTGTTGTTCTCGTGGCCTGAAGACCCCATTGGGGGTTTTAGTTATCTTGTGGGTCTCTCTGGCTGACTTCCTAACATGTTTCTTTGGCTTTTTCATATTCTGTGGGTCTACTAGGAATCCAGGCTTCTGGGTGCAGTCGGGGACAGGGGACACTGCCCAGGTCTCCTTCTCCTAGGGTTGTGGGGGACTCATGGCAGGTGACAGTGTAAGAGACCAAATTAAACTACACAAGTACATTAAAAGCTTCTATTTGTATTGTGTCTGAGAACATTTCAGGAGTTAAAGCAGATCACATGGCCAAGCCCAATGTCTACTCTAAATGCTGGACTGTAGGGTCACAGCCCCACAAAAGACAGACAATTTCTAAGGTAGGATGGAAGAAAGGACTGGAGGAAATTGAAGCCAGTCTCCCATTGTCCCATTGACCTTGACTGCAAATGGCCAAATTGTTCTAGGTGGAGATTGGCTGAATTATCAAGCTACAACATGAGAAGGGCCCACTTATTTGACCAAGGACTGAGACTTGTGCTAATGCCATAGTCCCGTGCCTAATGGCCAACAGTGTCAAGAATCTCATTAAAAGACCCATCCCTCTATCCCTACTTTCATTTGTCCATCATCAGTTCACCCACCTACTCATCATCCATCCATTGTTCCTTATTGATCCGTCAGTCATCCGTTATCCATCCAGCCATTCATCCATTCAGAATGTGGTTAAGGGAATGCATTCTGGAGTTGGAATTCTAAGCCTACTATGTGCAGGTGGTGTGATCATCAACAAATGAGCGAGGCTCTTCTTTGTGCCTCTGTTTCTGTGTCTCTAAACTGGGGCTAATATTCCAAGCCATCAAATGGACCAGTTATAAGTAGCAGATGAGTGCATTGCTTAGAACAATGCTTGACCCAGAGTGGGTATATTTAACACACTAGCAAGTTGCTGCTCCAATACTGATGATTTTGAGAGACTTAGAGGAGAGAGAATACAGTGTAGACAGAGGTAATCAGAGCTGGCTTTCCTGGTAGAGATGTAGATGAGGAGCAAGGGGGAACTCTGCCCTTTCTCCATCCTTCTTCAAACTCCTCCAAATTTCATCTCCCTTCTCACATCACTTGGATCTTTCTGGGTGGGTTTAGGGTGGGTGGTTAGAGTTGTAGAGTGACTCAAGGTGTGGTTTCCTATGTCTCTTTCCTGTCCCCAGGTTCATTTGGCGGACAGGGACAACGACACCAGGGGAGAAGCCCATGGGCCCCCTGCTGGTGGCCACATTCTGGCCTGAGCTCCCAGAAAAGATTGATGCTGTGTACGAAGCCCCTCAGGAGGAGAAGGCTGTGTTCTTTGCAGGTGTGTGGGACGGTCCTGCCGGCTCTCGCTGGGTTCTGCCTGGCCAAACTGCAATTCTGGGCCACTTGTGGGCACTCTTGTCTTTTAGAGATCCATCCTTGCAACACCAGTGCCCAAAGGATGGGCTGCATGGAGATTGGTCTAGATGCTCAGCACCAAATAATAGCTCAACCCACAGAGGAAATAGTTCCCTCTTTCTGCTTTGATCAGTCTTCTGATTTGTTTTTGCTGAAGAAAACCAAAATTCTCCTTTTAGTATTCACATGTTCCTAAAACATCTTCTCCAAGTTAGAGTTTTTCATCAGCAATTCTTGTTGCTTTAGTTAAAGGAAAACAAAATTGATTTGGTGGTACTGGGGTTGAACTCAGGGCCTCATGCTTGCAAGTCAGAAGCTCTGCCAACTAAGCAACTCTTCCAGCTGTTTTTACTTTTGTTATTTTTCAATTAAGTTCTTGTGTTTTTTCCCCAGAACCAGCTTCAGACTAAGATTCTCCTACTTACATTTCACATATAAATGAGATTACAGGCATAAGCCACTATGCCTGGTATTTTAGTTAGCATTTTGAATAAATTAATTGCTTTTTAAAGATTGTAAGTTAAAAACACTTAAATTTTAACTTTTAAAACATTAAAAAACTGGGAATGTGGCTTGATGAGAGAGTGCTTGCCTGGCATGCATGAAGCCCTGGGTTCAATTCCTCAGTACCACATACACAGAAAAAGCAGGAAATGGCACTGTGGCTCAAGTGGTAGAGTGCTAGCCTTGAGCTGAAGAAGCAAAGAGGCCCAGAGACAGCACCCAGGCCTTGAATTCAAGCCCAAGGACCATAAAAAAAAGTTTAAAAGGTTTAAAATTTGAACTTGAAACTTTAAAATTTCACATAACCTTATTTTAACAGAGGTTATTAATTATGATGACTGAAATTTCAAACCAGGACAGAAGCAGAGTTTTCAGTACAGGTATTTAGATAAGCAAAATAAATGTTTAAGAAATTGGTTTTGGGGGCTGGGAAGGTGCCTCAGTGGTAGAGTCCTTGCCTTGCATGCCTGAGGCCCTGGGTTCCATTCCTCAGCACCACATAAGCAAAAAGATAAAAGCCAGAAGTGGCGCTGTGGCTCAAGTGGTAGAGTGCCAGCCCTGAGCTGAAGAGCTGAGGGACAGTGCCCAGGCCCAGAGTTCAGGCCCCATGACTGGACCCCCCCAAAAAAAATATATATAAAGAAATTTGTTTTTGAAGATTTAGAAATGAACTAATTAAAAAATAGGAAGTTTATAATACTCTTTGGGGTCTCTAGAAGTGGGAAAAAATCAGAAATCATTGATCATGCAGGGTGCTTGTGGCTAGATTTTGGGAAGCTGTCTATTCAACATTTATTTGAACACATACAATGTGCTGACCTTTTCTGGGATGTAGCCCCATACTCTTGGGAACAGAATATTCAAGGAGAGACAGATGAATAGGCTATTCTGAGGGTGTGAGAGGTGACTGAGAGCCAGCCCTGTGAGGTGGGTCTCTGGGAAGATACCACTGCCTTACGGGAGGTTGCGTCACAGCCAGCCTGCTCCTGTGTTCTCTGTCCATCCCATGGTGAACAGGTGGCCACAATCCTGGCCACTTCAGCACAGCCACTAACACGTCCTGTGCTTTATTCCCCGCCCCATTCCAGGGAATGAGTACTGGGTCTATTCTGCCAGTACCCTGGAGCGAGGGTATCCCAAGCCTCTGACGAGCCTGGGGTTGCCCCCTGATCTCCAGCGAGTGGACGCAGCCTTTAACTGGAGCAAGAACAAGAAGACATATATTTTCGCAGGAGACAAATTCTGGAGGTAAGGGAGGTTGGGAGGCAGGATGGCCGAATAGGTGTCTGTGTAGGTCAGCACATGCTAGAGTTTGACGCCTCCTGGGTCAGGCTTTGAGGTTGGTAAGCTGTGGGTGCTCTGCTCTGATCTCTCTTCTGAGAAACTGTTAACTGCTGGTAGAATCGTTGATTCCCTCCTCTTGGTTCTGAAGTTGACCTTGGCAGGAGACTCATAGCAGAGGGGCTGGAAGAGGCAGAGTGGCTGTCTGTGGACAGTTGTTAGGTTTCTCCTTTGCACAGGTGGACACTTGGCTGTAGGAAGGTTAAGTGCTTAGCTTAGAGTCACCCAGCCAGGTAATGGAAGATTGGGCTTTGACCCCTGGTGTTCAGGCTCTCAGAGGGCAAGCCAGCCTTCACTGTACTGTACCTGATGCTGTGGAGTCAGGGAGATACAAGGGAATGGAGGCTAGAACTGGAGGAGACTCCGTGAAGAAAATTGAGAGGGGCTACAAGGCTGCTCACAGCAACCAGCCTTGAAATTAGGCCCACTGACAATGGTCACAGACAGGTAGAGAAGTTGGGAAGTAGGTAGCTCTGTTCTAGGCCATCTAAAGGGAGGGGTTCAGTTGTGAGAGGTCATAGACAAGCGCCCATTACCCAGGAGCCGCTGGGGAGAGGCAGCCAAAACCTCAGAGATTCAATCTTGACTCTGCACACATTCCAGACGAGGCAACTGAGCCCCAGAGAAATGAACTAACAAGGATAAGTTGTGTGACTCTAAGTGTGTTGGCATAGAGCGGGGATGACAGTTGCTTCTGTCCTCTTCCCAGTGCCCTGCCATTGTACCCAACAGTCATTTAACCAGTGGAAGGAAGAGTGTCTTTCCATCCTTTCCCTTTTGCCGTCCCTGTCCATGTTCCTTCTGTGGCTGCCTCTCCATCTGGGCACTTAGAGGGCACTACTGAGGCCGTAGTCTGCTGTCCCCAACTTCCTGCTTCCCCCAAGCCCCTGTGTCCTTCCCACTCCCCTCCTCTTGCCACCACCCCGCCTCCCACTGCCCTAATTTAGAAGCTACTTATGTCCCAGGCCTGCTAGTGTCAAGGTAGAATTCTGGACACATGGCTAAGCCACTTAGCAGCCTAAGCTGATTGAGTATCACCAGCTTCAAGAAAGAAAAGCAGTCATCCAGGGAACTACAGAGCAGGCCTTCTGCCCACAAGGGTCCAGAGCATCCCAGGGCATGCTCACATCCAGAGAAAGGCATCTCAGATCTCCCAGGCCCTCCACGGCTCCAGATCGCAGAACCATGGCAATGGCAATGTTAGGTTCAAAAGGCCCCGGTGTCTCCCCTGCAGTGTGGGAAGGACTTTCACAGTCACTGTCTCTCACACAGATCCTGTGTGTGTATACACAGGAATAAATGTGTCCCTCTGAGTCTACCCATGCATATTTAACTTCTCCTCTGTGCTGGGCACTGAGCTGTGTGCTGGGGAGACAGTAGATGGACAATGGTTCTGCTTTGTTCTTGTGGAACTTCCGGCGGAGTGAAGGAGACAGACTCTCCCACGTTTGAATCAGTAATGTGACTGTCTCCACAGGCTGTGCCCAGCCCCAGGCTGAGGCTGCACATGTCACCTGGATTTCTCTTCTAAGGTAGATACTGTCATCAGGGTCACTTTGCAGATCAAGGACATGGCAGCCAAAGTGGGTCAAGGACACTTGTAGAAAATCTGGGATACCAATGGCTGTGTTTTTACACCTAGTCGACACTGTACCCCTTACTGCTACAGATGAGAAGCTTCATGAAGCCTTTTAGAGCAGTCAGTGTGTTAGCTTAGGGGTACCACTGTTCAAAATGATGGAGACAGGCATGAGATGAAGAGTATCCCCTTCAGAGCCCGTATCACACCACTACACTGTGTTCATCCTGAGAACATGTCAGTTACCTTCTCTGAGCCCAGTCTCATTTCGACAGAGGGGTGATTGAGGGATGTCCTCTCCTACCTGCTTGGGGTAGGATGAGGAAAAGCCATGATATCTCCTCCGTGCCATCATAATTCAGAGTGATGTTGTCTAAGGGATTGGTGGAGGTGAGGTATATGGGGGTATGGTGTTTCAAGCCAGGAAACATGATTCTGCCAGCCCTGAGTGTGAGGAAGGAGATTCTGCAAGTAGTTTTCTGACCTGACTAGAGTTAGGAAGGCTTTTTTGGTAGTTCCGGTGGGGGGGTTGGGCTGAGCACAGATCCCTATAGAAGGATGCCTCGGGAAAAGCTACTGTTAGGGTCCATGGTGGAAGTGGGGCTGACCATGAGGAAGAATAGAGTCAGCTAGGAAACACCACAGAAAGAAAAGCTTGGTCATTTCCAGGTATGTCCAGAGAATTTGCTCTACAAGGACATATTTGGTCATTTACTAAAAGATCCACAGGTACTTTGTGAGAGCTCCTTAAATAATTGTAGTGGAAGGAATAGATTGAGGCTACACAGAGAAGCCAAGGAATCCTGACAACAGGATATAAGGTGTTTTAGCTGCTGGGCATGGTAGTGCACATCTGTAATCCTAGCTATTCAAAAGGAAGAGGTAGGATGATCACGGGTCAAAGCCAGCCTGAGCAAAAGTTAGTGGAATGCCTTCATCTGATAAACAACCTAAAAGCCAAAGGACTGGAGTCTGGCTGTAGTGCCCGAGTTCTGCTTAGCAAGTGCAAAGACCCCGATTTCATCTCCTATAAAATGTTCTCCCAAACATAACATAAAACAGTAGAGGTGTCATGAGCCTGGGAAAGCATGCCAGCTCAGTTATTTACTTGAATTAAAGGGAGTACCCAGGTTCCCAACATGCAGCTGCAGGCAGGGCTGAGGTGGTGGGTAGGCTGCCCTGTGACTCACAGGCCTTGGGCTCACACCTGCCATCCTGCATTGCAACCTCATTCCCCCAGCCATTGTCATCTTCCAGCTGTGGCCTGTCATCTCCCCTTGGCAGATGAAACAGCCACCATTTGTTCAAACCATACAGGGAAAAATCTGTCGGGCAGGTCCCTGTCCCTGGATGCCTGGTCCAGTGCCTCCTAGACTTCAGCAGGGATCCGAGTTTACAAGGAACTAACATTTCCCAAATACTAATGACCAGACATGGGAACAGACACTTCGCATGTATACTCAGGCAGAAATCATAGGATTGTTTTTACACAACTACCCTAAATCATGTAATTAGTAAGTAGTGGTGTTGGGAGTCAGACCTAAGTTGGACTCTGGGCCCTCCCACTACTGCCACAGGCCTCCCTGACAGGCTGGGTCTAGTTTCCCAGACCCACCCAGGGTCATCATCTGGGCTCTCTACTCCACGATGAGGGAAACCAGCAGGTACACCGAGTCCCTTCCTTTACAGATACAATGAGGTGAAGAAGAAGATGGATCCTGGCTTTCCCAAGCTCATCGCAGATGCCTGGAATGCCATCCCTGATAACCTGGATGCTGTCGTGGACCTTCAGGGCAGCGGTGAGCTAGCTACCCAGTCCTCTTTTTGCTTTCTAGCAGTCCCACCTCCCGCCCCCGACCCCCGCCTGCCTGCATACACTCCTTCATTGTGTAGGACAAGCACTGCTGCACTCGGAAAACAAACCAGCCCTTTCAGCCAGTGCTGGGAAGGCATCCAGCCCCTCTGGCCCCTGCTCACCCAAACCAGGCTCCAAGGCGGTAAGACCTAGAAAGGCCCCTTGCAGCTGCAGAGCCTGGAGCCAGGACTGAGGAGGGGGCAGGAGGCCCCCCGAGGGTGAAGAACATGGCCTGGTGCCTGAATTTGTTCTGAGATTTGATCCAGGCCCTGTAGGGTTTTCAGGAGGCCTTGAGACCACTTCCCATTAGCAGAAAGATGGTTGTTTGAGACAAAGCAAACTTTGTCAGGCTCGGTTGCTTGTGTGGCAAATCTTCTCCACTCAGCTCTGGGCTCCTTTGCTGAGTGAAACACCTCCAGTATTATCTCTAAGGAATGGAATTCAGAATTTGAAAACCATATTCCTGAGGAGGTTGCTGAGAGCTCTCTAGGGCCCTGGAAACGAGGTCAACTTGTGTTTTTAAAGATTTCAATTTGATCCCACAAAGATTGTTTTGAATCTCCACCATCTGCTAAAAGCACAGAGCTCCAAACTCCAGTGGCTAAAAGTTTCACATATGCAAGCCAAAGACAAGAAAACGCGTAACAGGTGGTAGGTTAAGAATTATCTTCAACCATACATCTACTGAGCACCTACTACATACATGGTTTTAAATAAAAAGGATCATATATGCCAGGAGAAATTCAAAGTCCAAAGCATTTAGGAGCCAGGTAAGAAGATGGTAGGGTATGGAGAGGTTTGTAATGAGATAGAGAGTACAAGGCTCACTAATTGGGCACTTGCTTCTCAGCTTCTGATGATTCAGTGCTCTCTGAAAGAATCAGGACCTAGTCTTCCTGCATACTCCTGTATATTGTTATTAAAAAGAAGCCAGAGCTGGGCACTAGTGGCTCACACTTATAATCCTATAATCCTAGCTACCCAGGATGCTGAGATTTGAGGATCATGGTTCAAAGCTGGGTAGGGCAGGAAATCTATGAGACTCTTATCTACAGTTCACTACTAATTAACTCCAGAAAGGGAGTCGTGGCTCAAAGTGGTAAAGTGCTAGCCTTGAGCACAAAAATTAAAGGACAGCACCCAGACCCTGAGTTCAAGTCCCAGGACTAGCACAAAAAGGAAAAAAAACCCTCAAAGTTCTGTAAAATCCTGTAACATTTTCAAATGTTTGCATGTTAAAACGTAAAAATAAAAGCCATCTGTAGGGGTTGATAGGGCTAGAAGCCTGCTGATTTCCTACCTCTGGTGTATGCAAAGTGCTGGACTCAGTGATTGTGCTAAGTAGAGAACTGTTACTAACGGCACTATAACCTCACCACTAACAGCATCTATAACCTCACTTAATCTCACCCAACCCTCAAAGGTTGTATGTTTATCCTTGTTTTAGAGGAGTGAGTGCAAATAGATCTGATTTATAGATTTCCCTTCAGCTTCTTTGCTATTACAGGCAGATCTCCAGGCTCCCCAGAACCTTCTGTGTGCTAGGAAGTCAGGATGGGGTGGTCACAGCTCTCTTTCTCCTCTGTCCCTAGGTCACAGCTTCTTCTTCAAGGGTGCTTATTATCTGAAGTTGGAGAACCGAAGTCTGAAGAGCGTGAAGTTTGGAAGCATCAAGTCGGACTGGCTGGGCTGCTGAGCTGGCGTGGCTACCCCAGGCCCTTTCTTGCCCCATCCCCCTGACAAACCAGGCCCAGAGTACCAGGGTCAGATAAGGAAGGAGGGGGCCTTGCATCCTGCCCTCAGCTCTATAGTTAACCAGTCTTCTCACCCTCACCTGGTAATTTAAGATTCCAGAGAGTGGCTCCTCCTTCCTGTGCCCAAGAAAGGTGCTGACTGTACTCGATCCCCGGTGCTCCTTCCCTGGAGCTCCCTCCTCTCCCAAAAAGATGTTTCCAGATTCTCAATGCAGCCCTGCTTCGGGCTGCCCTGGTGCTGCCCCCGCTTCAGACACTCCTCTCTGCACAACCTTCTGTGGCTCACAGCACCCTTGGAGCCAACAGAGACTGTCTCAACAGGGCACTGGTGGCCCAATAGCCCAATAGCAAGGGGCAGTGGGATATACAGGCATAGCCAGGTGGCATTGGCCAACTCCTGGATTCTCACTTGCTGGCCTAGGACCTTCCATACATTAGCAGTTTGCTTTGTGTGCACTTTGTTATTTTTCTTTTGATCTTTTTATTTTTATGGCGTTTCCCCGGACAGAAGGACTCAGGTTGTCTGAAGTCATCGCGCAACACATCTCAGCCCACGTAGGGATGGCTCCCTTGTTCATTCTGTAGAGTCACTTCCTCCACTGGATGGAGGAAACCCAAGCCATGTGCAGCCCTCTCCGCCTCTCCCTTCCACAGTTCCCCATGGGAAATGGCAACACATGTAAATAAAGACACTAATTGAGTGGCAGGGTTTGGCATCTGTTTTAGGGCATTTCTCGTCCCAGCCAGAAGAGAAAACCTTAAAAGATGGATTCCCTGCTCTCTGCAGGGTACAGATAATGTCGAAATAAACAGCTAGAGACCATCAGCCCCTCCCATCCATCAGCAGGGAAGAGCTGGACACAGCAGTAGTCAATCTTGTTGCCTTAGTTACAGGAACTGGTCAAGATTTGCTTTCTTGGGATCTCTTTCTTTTTTCGTTAACAATTCTAGCAGTTCTAATTATGGTCCTACAGCAGTACATGTCCATCAGGCCCCTTTTCTTAGCTGGGCTTACCCTGTGCCAGATACTTGGCATACATCATTTACTTTTAGCCTTTATATCCCCTTAAGAAGTTGCTCTAGAGCCAGATGTAGCAGTCCAAGCCTGTAATCCTAGTTACTTAGTAACTAGAGAGTGGGAGGACTGTGGTTTTGACACCAACGTGGATATAAAAATTCACAAGACTTGGAACTAGAGGTATGGCTTCAGTGATAGAAGGTAAGCAAAGGCTCAGTCCTGAGTTCAGGCCCAGGTATTGAAACATAAAAAAGAAAAAGCTCATGAGACTCCATCTCAACTGATAGCTGCAGGAAGTGGTGAGAAGCTGTTGTCTTCAGTGATGTGGAGAAGCACAAGTAAAGAGGGCAGCCTAGCCTAGCCCAGACATAAAGTGAGACCCTATACCAAAGAGGCATGGGTCGACTGGTAAGGAGCCTTCCTTGCAAATATGAGACCCTGAGTTCAATCTCTAGTACCACTGGAAGGAAAAATGTGGTTAGCTAGCTGCATCTTACTGATGAAGAGACTAGGTCTAGAGAATGCTAGTGGTTCCCTAGGGTTTGCCCAGCATCAGAGAGCTGTTAGGTAAAACAGAACTGGAGTCAAGGTCAGAGGTAAAACAGAACTGGAGTCAAGGTCAAGGCTGACCAAAGGCTTCAGTCTTAACCCAGCATCCTTGGCAGCAGCATGACCTTGCTCTGAAATCTCCCTAAGTAGACACATGGGGGAGAATAATGTGAGCTTGCTTCTTCCTGTCATACATCTTACTTCTAGTCCCCTCCTGCTTCGAAATTAAAACCTAGGTTTATTCAGAGGTACCTGCTACTGATAGTCTGATGGTCCATTCCTTCAGGGCTTTGGCAGAGCTGGGAAAGGAAGTGGGGTAATAGCAGAGACTGAGTCATCTTTTCTCTATAGCTTGTCCACTGGATCTGGTTCTAGGGCTCTGGAAGGCAGGTGTCTGAATAAAGAGCCACAGTGCAGACCATCTTTGAAGGTTATGAAGACTCCTAAGGCTGGGAAGCTTCTATCACAGCTGAACCACACTTCTACTGGAAATTCTCTGTTATGCTGAGAGAAAATTCTATCTGATCCCCAACATACTGTTTCTAGAGTGCTTTTCTATGAACATTTACTCACGCATCGCTTGACTTAATTATTGCTGCGATCCTATTGGTAGGCATAATCTACTTTCAGAGGAGGCAACAGGCTCAGCGAAGTTAAGTAAGTTAGGCTGAGGCAGGATGGGAAGATTCTGGGATTTGGTAGTGGGTAAATTTGGAGAAGTAGCTATCCCAGAGCCCATTTCAGAGGGTCCTGGCTTCCGCATGCTCTGAGCAGACTGATCGCTAAAGATGAGCGGTCCCCTTCCTTCAGGGCCCCATCAACTGGTTTCAGATCCTGGCAAAACCCTTATTTCTCCCTTCCCCAGCTTCCTACCCATCAGGCCCCAGTACTTCCTCAGGGTGAAATGGAGCCACACTGCCTACATTGTTTCCCTTTTCGGTGCTGGGTTCCTCATCTGCAGTGGAAGCCACATTTTTATTTATTATTTATTTATTTTGGTCCTTTTCGTAGTAGCAGCAGTGCAGGTTTCCTATGAGGAGCCATCTCCCCATTGTCAGCCTGTAAATTTTCCATGAGTCTGACTTCACTCCTGAGACCAATGCCTTTATCAGCTGCAAATATCAAAGTGGTTGTTTACACAAAAACAAAGCACACACAGAAGTCAAACAGATACCAAGCCCCAACCTCCACGAATTCACTTAGTGGAATAACCTAATTGGTCAATCTCTCCCGGATCTAGGTTCTACTTCTCTTCATTTAGATAAACTGAGTCCCGGGAAGATTGAGATTAGGCCGATTGGACACGGAACCAGCACAATGCAGTGACATTCCTGGTTTTCCTGACCCTACAGCCGAGAAGGCTGTCTGGTGTGTTTTGTCCTTGCAGGGTTAGGGATATTGAGGTCCACTAGGGGGGTTCACTGAAGGAAAGCGCGCACCTGCAAAGGGGGCGTGGCCACACCAGCAAACGGGCGCGGCAGGCACTTCCGAGGGTGGGGCTAGAGCTGAGGGACCCGGCGCCAGCCCTGGGCGGCTAGGTAACCTGCGCGTGCGCAGAGGCCCCGGAGCGGCTCCCAGGGCTGGGACCTCAGTGGGACTGTGGCGGGGCCAGGCGGCGCCCGCGCGCGCTGTGCATCTCGCGTTCTGCTCGGGTCCCACGCGCGGCTGAGCCA